TTGATGTCTATTTAGTTTTTTTTTGATGCCTCACCCCTTCTATCCCCACAAGTTCAACTGAGGCAGCTGGATTAAACAAAAGCCCAAAACTTGAGGTTTTGGAGGCCTGGGTCACGAAGCTGTCGTTGAGCTTTGCATTACTGGCAGCTTGTAACTACTGTTGCAGTTGAGCGAAAACGTGCTCGCCGACCTCAACGACGTTTACAGGCAGAAAGGGAGGGCAACCGATGTGACAAGATGGTGGCCTGGATGTGCCTTACCAAGTGCAGCTTGCTAGAGTAGGGAAGGTGGGCCGACCGATCTCCGAGCTTGCTTCGGGTGGAAGCCAGGTATATCACAGACCCAGCCAATCGCACTCTCGTCGGAAGTTTCGCTTCCACTCGGTGCATGTCAGTGCATGTGTCTAGAAATCGACAATTTACACCTGCCTGGAGCATGTGAGACGATGCGAATGTCGTCGAAGATCCAGATTCACAGACTCTGATCCAGAAAGACTGGACGGGACCCTTGGGCTGTCGACTGCCTGCTTAGCAGATGTGCAAAGGCCTCTTGTAAAGCGTGCTTGAACAAACTCGACCGCGATTAGCAGAATGGCATAGGATGATCAACGGACTTAATCGTACAATCTTGAGCTCGTTTTTTCAACGGACCTTCGGTTCGCCCTTCGGCTAGTAGGCTTCCTTGCCTGTCCACGCTGGAGATCTCCAAGAATAAGTTTGAATCGTTGATCGCCCCCTGGCATGAAATGGTACCTCCGCCCTGTTATTGATCTTGTGCAAGACCTCGTGCAACCCCTCTTTCGATCATCTGGCGTAGCACGCAACAGGCGGCCCTCAAAGTCCTGGACGTCTCCCAAAACGCCTTCGCGGAAGCGTCGGCCCTGAAGCCCCTGGAGGTGATGAAAGAGCTCAGGCGAGCTGGTCCGAGTGACAGACCGTGAAAAGGAGCATACCGTGTGATGCCCAGGAGCCTCGTTGTGGCGGGCTGTCCTCTTGAAGAGCAGGCGGCCAGTGTTCTCATTAGCACTCCATCATGCGTAACTAGCCATCCGGCGATTTCCAAGACAAACAGGGCTTCCATTGACGATGCTGTCGAAATCAACGAGCAGAAATGAAATGCCGAACATTGGCAGAGCCTCTTGCGAATTTGACCTCCCGCGTGCCCGCTGTAGCCTCGCAAGTCGACTCCTTGAGGCCTCGGCATGAGAGAGAGAGAGAGAGAGAGCACCGTACATGTCAAGACAGAGAACTGCCTGGAGTTCCAGGATGGCGTAAACATCCGCCTGGAGATCCTCATCTTTCAAGGGCAACTCCAGACACTGAATGGTGAGGAAGCAGCGAGCTGAGGAAATCTTCGGTTCCCTGAGCCTGTTCAGCGCTTCCTCGCGAGAACCCTGCGCAGACTGTAGGTGACACCAGAGGAGAAGGAGGAAGCCAAGGCGCTCCACGAAAAACGCTTGGAGGAAGAGGCTGCGTGACGAGCGAAAAGGTTAAAAGACCTTCGGCACGTCGCGGTATTCATCAGACTTCCTTGAGTCCACAAAACGAAGGCAGAAAGACTCCGCCAAGAAGAGGAGGCGCGGACTCGTGGACCATGATGGATCCGAAAAGCTGCGCTGCTTGCGCATTTGTCTGGCTTGAAAGGATACTTTGGAACCCTTCGCTCCAAGGAATTGAACAAACTCTCTTTTGCACGAATTTGAGACGAATGCTGTCTCTCGCCCCAGCACCGCAAGGAGCAAGGAGCGAGGGACGTTCTGCCATACTCGTACATACTCGTACGTTTGGGTTGTTAAGGGTTAGCACTAAGTCACTAAGACAGATGCTGTCATGCCTAACTGTGCAGTTCTCCGCTTTCGGTGCCGCAGGCGAGGCTCGAAGCCGAAGCCGCTGCAGCCGAAGCCGCTGCCGCAGCCGAAGCTGAAGCAGCCCTGCAAGAAGGTCCCTCCTGAAGCTTTCGTGGAAGCAGAAGTAGGACGAGGGGCGGTGCTGTTGGGCGTTGTAGGCACGGGACATAACCTGGACTTGGCCATCTGCGAGCATTTTTGTAACTCCGGCCTGGTCACAGCTCGCCCGGCTCAGCCTGGAATTCAGATAGGACACAGACCTCCCATTCAGCCCCTGCAGAACCATTCAGCACCTTGTATCCTTAGCCACAACTTGGCAGGTGATCATAGTTGCAGGTGCCATGAGTTACATCGTAGACATCAATATGCAGATCTTTCGGGCAGGCTTTGCGCCCCATGTGGGTCCCCTGCAAGGCAAAATGCACCGAAGAGAGTCTGGAAGCATCAAAACATGGTTCAACTACCAGCACCCCTTCCACAAATGCCTCTAGTCATGGAGTTGCGCTGCGCATCTGGCTGAGTTCTTGCGGGATGGCTGCAACTCGGCTTTCTTCAGAACCTAGGACCTAGGAGCGAGGTTGCTCAGGCCGAGGCGAGGCCGATCAACCTTGTAGGTGCAACCAGGGCTTTCACTGCCCAGGCGGTCGACCTCGAGGGCTACCAGAGAGCATGGCGATTGCGCCATGGCTCTGCAGACGACGAGCTGATGCGCCAGGTGCGCTCAGGGCTATTGTAGCACGCAGCGAATCGGAGGATCTCTGAACGGCTTTCGAAGACTTTCTCCAGGTCTTCGGGCAAGAGCTCGACGAACTGCAAAAGCAGCTCGGATGGTAAAGTCATGGCATATGTGCGGTGAAAGAGTTTCGTCCATGAGGAAAAGCCCGCAGCTGTTGGACGTGGCGAGATCGTACTTTCCCCACCTCACCTCCTCCACGTGGCTTGTCTGCATCTATCGACCCTGCGCCTGCGGTGAGCTGCCTTGCATTGAATGTCGAAGTTTCAGGTACGAGGCTTTGGCCCGAGAGCCCGATGGTTTGCGCCTGGACAAGGACCGCCAGAGTCGAGGCACTCCGACTACTCCGGCTAGCCCAGCTTGACTCCAAGTCCCGAGGACCGCTGCGAAAGGGAAATGGAGCAGCTGGCCGTACAAAACTACAGCGCGTTCATCGGCAGCGCTGAGGTCACGCAGGGAGTACGACAGGAGAACAGGGCAACGGGAAATCTGCAGACCGCGAGCATTTGCAGATCATTGCAGGAGCTGTCGAGCATTCAAGCCAGCTTGCAAGAGTCAGAGGCTAAGCTTGGCAAGCTTCGAGACCAAACCAATCCGCACGCTGAGCACATGAGCCCACGCTCAGCTCGTGCTGCAGAGTGCGCGGCTCGGTAAGGATGGCCGAAGTCCTGGAGCCCGCCCAGGAGAGTCAGAGCCAGGGTTTTCAGAAGCGCGTCTCATTGTCTCAGAGATCCCTGAGGAGACCATCTCCCAGCTGCAGGATAAAGCAACAGGCTGGTCACCCGTCGCGTAGTGCCATATGATACTTTCAAGAAGGAGCACGGATGCAAGCGGCGCAGACAAGATTGCAAATCCGAACACACTTTATCAAGTGTCCAAATGGTGGAAGCTACATCCAAAGCTTGGAGGCCTGGGTGCACGGCGAGCTGCCCTGCGGAACGTGTTGCTTGGCTTTTGGTTTGAAGGCGGAGAGATTGCACAAAGTCTCGAAAGATCTTGAAAGGTTTTCTTTAAGCACTTAGAAGGAAAGTCGCTCCCAGGCTGACACAGCACGGCGCTCTGCTCGAGCTCCTGGAGCTGCCTCAGCTGTGGCTCGCCGGACATCGCAAGCTCTTAGCTTCTCTTAGGCTTTTGTGGAGTGGGTGAGTGTGCCAATCTGTGACACGGCGAAGTACCGCGGATCCGCCGGAACTTGTTTCCATGAAACATTACACCAAACTTCTCTTTGCGAGGTTAGATGCCTGTGTCCGGAATCAGATGTACGAAGAGTCCTTGGAGCTTCTTGTGTCCTCGGCTGCACAAGGGCTCCCAGAGCGTCCGGGCATGGGAGATCTTTGTGGCAACTGTGTGACAGCTTCATCATTGGGGCCCGTGCGATGTCATGTGCAAGCAGTTCTCGGCCCGATTCGGTCGTTTGATTGCAAAATCCCGGCAGCACTCGCAGCTAAGGCTTTCTGCAAGAGCTTGTTGCAAGCACATGAAGCCCGCGGGGAAGACATCCATGTTTTGACGCACATCAAGGATCAGGCCTGCCTAGCTCTGCCAAGAACATGTCCTCCTTCTACCTTCCGAAGCTTCGCATAATTTGCATGAGATGCCTGAGGTGGCTGTGCAAAGGACTAACCTCCGCGATTCCTTGGCCGCGCAGCTCAAAACGGAATCCTTGCAGCAACTACAGGGTCAAAACATTGGTACATCAGGGACGGCCCATAACAACCCTTTCCCCAATACTTCTCATTCAACTGGGTCCTTATGCCTGAGTTACCGCAAATGCAGGTGCCGGATGGTTGCACCTCCGGGTTGAGTGCTTAAGATACATCCGCTGTCGAAGGAGGGCGGGATTTTGTGATTCGGGGAACGCGCACTGGGCTCTCGCCGTGGATTCGTGCGCACATTTTTGACAAGATCGCCTTCTTTCCGCCATCCTCGGCGCCTCTCGCGCGCCTGCGCCATGCATAACGGTCACGCAAGGATTTTGTCAGGGAGAAGAAAGCCAAAGAAGATATGCCAGACTGCGACCGATGATTTGGTCGAGGTTGAACAGCACGTCGATTGAGCATGAGCATGAGTTTTCACGGCATTAACATGAGTGTTCACGGCATGAGCATTGGTAAACCAAACATGTCCGGTCACAGTCCCGTGATGCCGTGTGCTTAGTTTGCTTGCAGGTCGCTCGAAGTCACGAAACTCCCTTTTGACTATGTAGGGCTTGGACTACTAGGTGTTCTTTCACTGTTTGGGATAACTTTCTGGATTTCATTCTTTGGGGCCACGAGTGATTCACTTTCCAGCCTCTCTACAGTATCTCTCAAGCTAATTTCCGGGCCACGGTTCCTTCTTTGCATGCCGGAGCCTCCCTCACACCTAGATCTGATGAGGACATCCATCTTCCGGCCTGTGTGCACATTGTCGGCTTCTTGCGGCGCGTGCAGCGCCACTCCGAGGACTGACTTCGATGCTACTGTACAAATCGAGGAGGGGTTGTACACTCACAACAGGACCACAGGACAATGCTCATTGTGGTGGGCAATCTTCCAGACATAGTACATCATAACAGCTACATCCTTGTTTCACCCAGGGAGCGGAATTCATGGAACGCTTCGCAGTATCGACACAACTCCAAGTAAGGAATCTGTGGATCCGAAGACCTTGCCAGAAATGTACAATGTTACTGTTCACGCAGCTTGCTTTAGCTGCTGCATGCCTATTTCAACTTGCTTCTTGTAGAAGACGAGTCGCTACATTCCAGTATTAATAATGTCGTGGGGCAGCCGGAAGTGTCAGCGGTCCATTTGCAAAGCTGTAGACGGGACCGTCATCCACGCATGAGATGCAAATCAAAAACTGCTGAGTCCCGACAAATGGCCAGGGGTTTTCAGGAGGGAGGAAGGAATGTGGACAGTGTATGCAGATGGCCTGGGCATTCGCAGCACAAGAGAATCAAGCGCTGTGACATACGGCCTAGCAAAGGGGATGCACCAATTCCGGTAATCCGGCCACCAACTTCTGTCAAGCCCGTTGATACACGAAACAAAGCCATGAAACTCATGACAGCGCGGCTGGGTGCCATTGGCTTCTGTGATAAACCCTGCCTTCTCGCACTATGTTTTATTGGGCCTTTCGGACCAGCATGAGAAAGGCAAAACATTGAATTCCATAGACCAGCTTACGCTAGATCAAGTTGAGCCATGCTCCCGGCTCGGATTCGAGGGTTTCTTTTCGGGCAGATGCAGGATGCACTATGCTGAAAGACCCTCATCTTGCATATCTTGCACCGCCCCTTCAAGACACGACACAATGTGCATAAGGTAGGTGGTGCAGGATTTCCTGCATCCACCGTAGCAGATGCGTCTTCTAGCCGCTTTCACCGGGTCACGTCACGCCAGGAAGAACTGCGTGAACTCTTCATCGAGTTCCTTGGCATTCTTCCTTTGGGGAAGCAGCAGAATGGGAGGATGCAGGGAACCCGGGAGAGCTGAGGCATCGCAGCAAGTTCCTGGATACCCACAAGCAACAGGTTGAACTCCTGCGCCACAGCCGTGGCAGTGCAGGATCCTCATTGTACCCGGGTTTAAGAAGAACGGGCGGCATGGCAGTGTCTGCGCCTTGGGGCGTATCCACTTAGCAAGGCAAAGCGTGGCAACAACCATTGCTCGTACTCCCTACTCACACTTGAGCGGAACCGCAGAGTTCTTAACCCTCGAACATTGCACAGCTCGTGGAGGTGGGGACGGCGCTGCGGAATGCAGCTGACCTGCTGCGGACGCATCTCGCCGGTGCAGTAGTGACTCAGTAGCTTTCTCTCCTTTCTTCCTGACACTGCTTCTGGTTTCTTCTGGCCCGGAGGCACGTATACGACATCGGCACGCAGTACAAGGCAACGAAAATGTGTGCAGCCTGTAGGTCATAAGTCATATATAAGGCAGCCTGGCGAGCCTCTGGCGAACTTCAGTCCGTTCGGGAGGCTCTTTTCCCACAAGACGACGGACCCCTTGGGACTTGGCTCAACAGCCAGGTCACGCGCCTCTTCTGCATTCTCACAGGGTGCAAGGTCAAAGTTTGAGGAGTGCAGTCAGGGACATTCTAATCCATTATGTTGGGTTCAGCGTTGCATGGGCATGGCATGGCATGGCTGAGGTGGTTAATGATGCTGCTGCACCACCACGTGCTGCCATCGAGTTCGAGTGCGAGTGACCCCTGCTTGCAAAGATGTGGTATGTCGGGGAGACAATTAGGCAATCCGCATGGCTTGTTGGTGCGCTACCCGCATTGGTTCAGTTCTCATCGCCGTGCAGTGAACAAGCCGAAACGAAACATGTCGATGTCCTTCCCAGAGACGAGATCACTTTTTGACACTTATTGTTGGCAGTTCTCATCGTTTGCTCAGTGCTCTGAATGTGAACATTCGCCCAGGGCAAAGGCTCCACGACGACACTCAGCGTGCCTCGACTTGACGAACGATCGAAACCATGCCTGCCACCTGTACGAATCCACGCATAGCATGGAACACCTTGATGACGGTGCTGTTTGAAGCTTTGGCGCCGCCTCCCACTGTCGTCGCACTGTAATTGGATTGCAACGGTTTACACTGGAATCAACAGTGGGCATTGACCAATTCCTAAGGCAAAGATCGACGCTGCACAGCTGACGACTGTCCTCCGACAGTGTGTCCATGCATCGTCTACGCTGAAGCGATTAGGCAGGCTTTAGCTTGTCACACCGAGATCCTCGTGCCGTCGGAACCCTTACTGTCATATTGTCCTTCAGGGGCTCGTGATGTTGTAACAACCGATTGCATGCAAAGACTCGCGCTTGCCCACTTGAGCGAGTGTGGATATACGTGCAATGACTTTGGAGAGACTACAAGCCGCAGGTGGGCATTTCTTTCCAGCAGTGGCTGGGATCTTCGAGGCCACGCGATCGAGCAAATGACAGAGCGAGATGCGAGAGATAGAGAGACAGACAGACAGACAGACAGACAGAGAGACCTACAGAACGTAAGCGGCCTCCTTTTCGCCCTCAAACTTCCCGAGCGAGCGACTGAGGGAGTGAGCGTGCGGGCACGCATGCACATACTTTGCGTATCGGGTAACCCACCTCAGGACCAACTGCAACTGTACTGTTGGCTTCGAAATCTGAGTCAAGAGTCAGCACACACAGCAGCTCGAGTTGCTTTTGATGACGGTCCTGCACTGGACATGTTTGACTCACACGACAGCGCAAGTGCTGGGACCCAGGGATCTGTTCGCATATGCGCTCAATGGGAGGTTATTTGTTTCATGGCCAGCAATAAAGAATAATATTGATGAATATTGCATCCTCACCCGACAACAGCACCCGCTGCCAGACCTCAAGCTTCGAGGGTCCCGGTTTGTGAGACATAGCTGCGGGTGCTGTGAGGCACGCATGGAGCAGTACTCCCGCGAGATGCTAGACAGCGCCCTGCTGACCTTCCATGCCGAGCTTGGGCGCTACGACTGGGTGCCTTCCACCGCCCTGGCAGGAGGGGGCGATACTGATGCAGAGGGAAGGGCTGTCCGCTCACCTCCTGCTGTGAGGCGGCGCCAGCGAGGCGTCGGCAGGCTGGCTGCACCCGCAGGCGCGGAAGGGTTTGGCAGGTACGGAAGTGTCTGTCGAATGCATTCAGTGCAGTTCAAGCGTCCGAAAACTGTAGCAATCATGCAGAGTCGCGCCTTGTAAATGCTGTCCCCTGAGCTGTCCCATGCAATGCAACGGAAGTTTCAGGCCTTAGAACTCACTCGGCACCGCCCACTGGCGGTCCTTACCAACGACATTGTTCAGGCCGGCATGTGTTTCCTTGGTTGTTCAGAGATTCACAGCCAGGTTGATCTTCCCAACATCGTCGTCGAACGAGTCCTTTCGTAGCCGTAGTATCAGCAGTAGCAGCAGCAGCAGCAGGAGTGGTCGTGGCCCTAGCAGTAGCAGTGGTCGTAGTCGTCGTGGTCGTGGTCGTAGTAGTGGTGGCAGTAGTAGTAGTAGTAGTAGTAGTAGCAGTAGTAGTAGCAGTAGTAGTAGCAGTAGTAGTAGTAGTAGTAGTAGTAGTAGTGGCATTGGGAACGTCGCACTGTTCGAAGGTGCTTGACGAGGGGACAGGCACTGGGCACCCGGCTGTTCTGTTGACAGCATCACTCCTTGGTGATTCCCTGGGAACAAAAGTCGTACTAAGCATTCCAATCTTCCATAGACCAAAAACTGAAGCTTCGACTTCAAGGCTGAGCCATACTCCTATTGGAGTCAGTCCAGGGCGTTCAGATCCATCACTGCAGTGAAAGAGCTCGCTGTTGACTCGGATGGGCCGTTAGCATCAGCAGTCGCTCCACTGATCTCATCAATCCCACGCGAGCTGTTCTTTTGCGATCCATCAGCTGCAGCAACCAGGTTGTCGTCGTCCTCCGAGGAGGAAACCACCTCCATGGGTGCATGTTGTTGCGGTATGGAAATTATCCTGGCCTCCAGCATCTCCACAGG